GCTCTCTCCTCTGCTTGGTTTGTTCTCCAAGGCAGAGCAAATGGGTAGTCTCTTCCTAGTCCATACAGCACTGCAGGGGTCCTGACTGCGTGTATAAGTGTGTGCGTATTTGTGTTTGTGTGTGTGTCTTAAGAGTATTAAATAGATATACTTAAGTCGAATGTTAAGCACCACAAGTACTGATGAAGAAGGTGATGATAAGGATGAATTTTTTATGCAAAGGAGTAGAAAAATTGGGTTGGTGATTCTCTCCTGATGGCAATCACATAGTACCTAGCTAATTAATTTTAATCACACAATACAGGTTTCTCTCTCTCTTTCCCTCTCTCTTTTTCTCTATTTTTTCCTCTCTTGCCGTTACCAGAGAAGAGAACCTGACCATTTTTCCTTAGAATTTCAGGTCTCTTCCAGGTGGGCAAGACCCTCCCTACATACTGATAGGCTGAATTAATTAAGAGGATTGATTTTCGTGGATCACTGAAGAGAGTTCTATATGGCAAATAAGCCCTGCCACTCACAGCATTAAGTAGCCCCTCATCAGCCAAGTGCCTGTGATGATTGCACTTATTTTTACACGTTTGACCTAGTTTCAAACCATGTCTTTTCGTGCTGTGATTCATTAGCTACATTTTAAACCACCCCAAATGGAACGGAGGTGACTCTGCCTGGTTTGTGCCAGCGTCTCAGATACAATTTCTCTCCAGACTTTAATATGCAGGTCCCCCTGGTATTCTGTTTTAAGAGGTTATTTCCCATTCAGGCACCTGGCATGTGGCTTGGGGATGGATGAGTGACTGCCTCATGCCTTGGTAGTAAATCTATTTTGCCTACAAAATTTCTGCCAGGGCTGGGAAGAGGAGGGTTCTCACTAGCCTGGACTGCAGGGTATCTCTCCACCCCACTCTCCCCCTTGCAGTAGTCAGGTTTTTCCATGATGCTGTGAGAGCTGGGAGTTTGAGCTCCTACACTATAAAGTTTGGGGAACACCAATGTTCAGCGTATCTCAGCTGCTAGAGCAAATAAAGTAGGATTACCCCACCTCCCCACTCCAAGATCCCTTTCTAAACATTTCAGACATGATGGACACAAAAGTAAGGTCTTAAACTTGTGCGTAAGGAAGGGGGTAGCAGGCAAAGTGGTGGATTGCCATTTTGAAGACAGTACTGGAAAAAGATAAACGTCAGAGGAGCATACTGTTGTTCCATCTTGCTAGCATTGTGTGCCAAGGGGTTTTGATTGGTTTGTTTTTTTTAGTTTAAATAACAGAGAGGAGCCTTTTCTAAATACAAACCCCTGCTACTGGTATTTGATGCCATTTCACAAATCAGTCAGTCATATGGGTGTGATTTCTGACAGATTGGATTTTAAAGTGGACCAGACATCATAGTACAAAAAGGGGCTCCCAAATGGAAGTAAAACACTGTCATTTTTCATCGACAGCTAAATGCAGGTAACTTGTCCAAACTTCAGTCACATAGCACTACAAATCGTACTGCAAGACACTCAGTTGGATTTTCCTATGAGTTAGTTAAAAGAAATGAACCAGCTGGTGAAGTGATTTTGATTGACAAGTGGACTGAAATGCCTTGAGCGACTCCTTATAAAAAGATAATGATTCTTTCATAAAATGGTCATTCTCTACTTAGAGACTGGACACCCCTTCCCTCTTTTTATTTTCTCTTACCATGGAGGGTAGAAGTTTTTCTAAAGCAGTCTTAAGACAATGAAGTCCTTTTAAGATAATTCCAGGCAACTTGAGCTCTGGGATTTGTGTTTGCTTCCCCCCTCTACCCCCTTCAAATTCAAATCAAGCCATAGGAAACAACATGCATTCACATTCGGATCTATGCATTTGGGGCAGTCTGCAGTTCTGACAATGGTGGATTTTCCAACACACACAGACACACACACGTACACACACACGTACACACACTTAGCAGTCATTTAAGCCAAAGCTTTAAAAGTAAACTACTGTCCAAGAGATGATAACATTTCCTCTTAGAGGATCACCGATCACAAAAAATAAAACCTACCCAAATCTCTTACCTTGAAGCAGTGAAATTACCTGCAGAGGGTGAGCTCCCTTTCCTTGCAAAACGAGTCAGCCTTTGGTCAGCAGCAGAATTACTCCAAAAGAAGGAATAATAAGTCTTTTATATTGTAATTTTCACTGTTTATATGCGAGAAGTGTAGTGGGTCTGCTCACGTAGGAATAAATAAAAAGCCGAACAAACTGCACGGCACTTACCATGTGAAAAGCAAAGACCTCTAGTGGCCACAGGCTGAATTCTTTAAGGGGGAAAGAGATGGAGGGAGTAGAGGAAACACAGCTGTTATGAGTATGCACGCATATACGGGCGCACACATGCGCACACAAACACACACACTCCAACACCTCTCAAATTAAGATTCCTCCTTCCTTGCATCCAGCCTGACTGATAGGAAAATAGTAATGATGCTGATTTTTTGGCTGAAGTGGGGCCTGATTAAGTTAGCAGTGACAGCGGTTGGTACTCTGTCAGGGACAGAGTACTCTGAAAGGGACAGACATTTTCACAAATTCACCACCACTCCCAGGGGTCTGAACAGGACAGGAGATTTGACCACTTGGATGGCCAAGGAGATTGTCTCCAATGTGGGGGCCCCAGGTTGCCAGCAGCACAGGACCACACTGTTGTGCCTGAGAGTCCTAGCTCCATGCTCTGTGCCAGCTTTTTAAACATTCCTGGGGCATGTGTGTGCTCTCACGCTGAGAAGGACTGGCTTCCTGGGCAGGTAACCTGTGTTTAGAAGGACACCTTAACTGTCTTAAAATTCTAAGTGATTTTTGTAACAAGAACTCTGCATTTTCACTTCATTCTGAGCTCCACAAATTACACAGCCAATAACCTAGATGCAAATGAAAAATCCGTATCTTTTGAGGATGTGGATTTGAGCAATATGCAGTTACCCATTCCTCTAGAATGAGGGAGAGGCTTTCTGAGAACAGTGAAACTGTTTCTACACCACTATAATTAAGCTGCAAAACTGTAACCTGGGAGGATTTTCTTTACATATTTGTTATACTTTTTTCTTTAACAACGAAGTTTATTTTTTGTTTGTTTTTAACCAAAGACTATTTGTGATGCTAAACCTACTTTCTTGGTTCCACCTGTCTGGTATGTGTTATGTCCAATATTCTTTAGCTGTGGGATTCCCTGGATCACACAAAAGTAGGTGACCTTCCACATGTAAATCAGGGAGCTTACTTGAACCAAGATGGTAACCCCAGAGGAATCTTACAGTAGCAAACTCAAGTGGTTTATGTATCCCCCAACCTTCACCCCCCACTGAGGGTTCATGATCAGTGCTTCCTTTATCAGGTTCCCTGAGTATATCTCCCTGCACCTGCTTTTAAATACTAGCCCAAACAAAAACATGACCTTGACACAGAATATAAAATCTGGGTGCAGTAAAGCACAAAAGAGTGCGATGATATAGTCCAGGGAGTAAATGGTGTGGTTCTTGTTCCTTTAGACACAGGGATCTTCCTCCTCTCCATAGCCCTATACTGATTTCTTATATGAATCCCTCTGGCACTTATCAGCTTCACAAGCCAAGGGTCTTGTGTTTTCTTCACTCATGAATATTAATCTTGTTCTCCCAAGTAGATAATGAACAAGGAAAACCTCATTTCTTTTATCCCCCATGACTCATAACCCATGCTGGACCCAGTAGCTGCTTACTTTTCACTGTTGGCTCATTGGCCCAACAACTGATTGCTCTGTAGAGAGCTTTAATGCATTCATGCTATCGAAGCCATTTGATCTTTCTGAAACACCTGGGGGGGGGGTAGATATGGATAGATTGTCATCCCTTTTTACAGATGAAACAATTGGTGCTTATGATATGAAGGCCAGCCTCAGTTTCCCTCAGCCAATAAAGGAAACAGTTTGAGGAGAAGGAAAATAGTTTAACTTGTTGAAACAAGCTGAGCATATTGGGTCTGAAAGACCATGGTCCTGCTCTGTGGCGGAGGGCAGGGGTATTCATATAAAGGAGGACAAAAATATGGCGGCGGGGAGGGGAGAGATAGATAAGGGCTGGCATGGCCTTTTGATGCAGGTATCTGGGAAAATTGGCAAGGGTTAAGGGTCAGCACCAGTTCTGTTTCATTAACCCCTTTGTGTTTAATTTCCGTTTATTATCTTAGGAATGTCCTTTCTTTTCCTTAGAACACAGGAAGACAAACTTATTAAACAAACAAGCTTGTTAAATGTAAGAGATAGGGATGTCCTGGTGGGGCAGGAACAGAGACCTGTCCTGTTGTTGCTACATCACTTAAACATATAATATTGCTTACTGGAAAATCAGACTATCTCCAGGGTCTTGATATAGGATCAAGTTCCTGCCACAATACAATGTTCTTTTCCCAAAGTGCTAGAGAGATAATGGATCAGCCTCTATTTCCTACATCTGGAAAGTTCCTACATCTTATAGTTTCAGGTACATAATACATGCTTAATAAATGCTTTTTGGAAGAATGAGCCCACGGGGGAGCCAAAATGGAGCATTTTTTTTAAAGATTTATTTATTTATGTATACAGAACTGGGGTACAGGTCAGAGGTACAGGGACGGTGAGAGGATTCACCAGAGACAGAGTGGGGAGCAGAACAGGCAGATCAATGAAGTACACTACTGAGGGGAACAGCAGGTGGTACAGGAGAGGTCTGCTGCACCATGTGGATCATGTGGATCACCTTGAGGGTGGGGATCTAACTTATGCTCAAGTGGCTTTAGCTTCTTAGTGCTGAGCTTTAACCCAATGCACCACTAGGGAGGACCCAGGAAGCATTTCTAACATTTCACACACTGTTCAGTTAGAGAGATTCTCCACCCCTAAAGGGCTTTTTATATGTGCCAAGGGTGCTTGGGCTGTTTTCTACTGAAGTCAAGGAAATAAGATGAAGCTCATGGTATTCTCGCCACTATTTATGACATTTTTCTTTGTTTCTTGCAGAGTCACTTTGTGGCATGTATGACAGCCATCTTAAACCAGATGGGTGACCAGCACTATTCCTTCTATATTGAGACCTTCCAGACCAGCTCTGAACTTGTGGTGAGTCTACAGGATGCCCAGGAACAATATAGAGAAGAAGTGTCTCACTCTTGGCTCTTGAAAGTCTCCCCACAGACCTTGAATAGATATGTGCCTACCTTTACAACATGTTGTGTGATTCTCTGGTCTCATTCTCATTTAGGCTTGTATGCTACTCCTAGAGCATATCCACAGTCCATGTCACCGATGAGATCTGAATGTCTAGCCTAAATATGCCTAAACAAAATTTGTTGATGAATCATGGGCATTTGGGGGCTTAAGATAGTGAGTATTGGAGTCACACTGTCTTGAATTTGAATCCAGGAATAACCCCCCAGCTAACTGTGGGGCCACAAGCAAGCTAACCTCTCCAAAGTCTTAGTTTCTCCATCTGTAAAGTAGAAACAATGATCATTTATGTTACAGAGTTATAAAGGGGTTAAATAAGAACACAGTAGCACTCACATATTAAGTGCCTAGTAAAAGGTAGTTATTAAAGTTCTTTGTTGCATTGCATAATGATGGTTCAGTCAAAAATGGATGGCATATATGTTGGTGGTGCCAATGGTCTATACTATATAGCTCTCAGTGTGTAGTAGACTAAATTGTCTAGGTGTATGTAATACATGCTATGATGTTCACACAACGGAGAAATCACCTCAGAGGGCATTTCTCAAAACATATCCCACCACTAAGTGATGTATGACCATTATAATTTGACAACAAAGCATCAAGGAAGTTGGCTTCTGAACCTCCATTGGATTTGAGCCTCTGGAAGCTCTGCTCCTCATACCATGTTACATCTGCTCATTCCAGAAGCCAGGTTTTTTGTTTCATTTGTAAGCTGGAGGCTTTCCTCCATTCCCATAGGAAGGGAATGAGCCTGTACCCATACCCACACTTTCCAAGATGACATCAAGGATGAAGAATCATAGCATCATCATTATCAATCATGAAAGAGCACTTACAACAGGCCTGACTCTTTGAAACATCTTATTTGGTGTCACTATGTCCTCATAGTAATCCTTGGAGGTAGATGTTATCCCTTTTCTGCTGGTGTGGAAACCAGGGTTGGAAGCACTAAGATAATTTTCCCTGGAAGCAAAGATTGCTCAAAAAGAACCAATCCCATCACTAGTATTTTGCAATTTAGTGTAAAGTGATTTTCAAATTCTATTTTCTCCCAGCCTCAGTATCCTCTAACACACACACACAAATTTCATCCAGAGATACTCCATTTTATTTTTTTAAATTTATATATGTCTATATACATTTGTTTTTCATTTTATATGTTCAGTTCCAGTTTCTTATAATAAGGAATTTTGCAGTTAAAATGATTTAAAAACTACTGGGTTATCAAGAGGTCTGACTGGGTCTTCTATAGACTTCAAATTTTACTTATGGCATCCCAGTGATATGACTTCATTTCCTTCGCTCAGGAGGGTCACAGTTCCAGTGTTCTGCTGTCTGAATTTGTCTTGAGTTTGTGCTTCCCAAAGGTAGAAAACAGGTTTGGCTCACTGCAAAATAATAATAATAGTAATAATAATAATAATAATAATAAGTATCTTGAGGTCACTTTGAACCCCTTAAAAAGATACCAAGAGAGTCCCTATTGTGTCTTCACGTATATGTCTGTGACATATGAATTAGCTGTGTTTATAGGGCTGCTAATTAGAGGTTCATTTTAATAATAGTTTGTTTGCTCAATGACCTGAGATGCTTTTGTATAGTGTAGATTATTTCCTTCTCAAATACATATTTGGAAAGATGATTATAAAATTGCCATATCAATGAATGCATTATGTCTTAACTCCCAAGGACAAAATTAATAGTGCTTTTATTTTGTGCATCTTCACATTCCATATTCATGTCCCTCATATATTTGTGGAACAGTCTCCTGCTAACCAATTTTAAGTTCCTATTTAAAAATCTACTGCTATTGGTTTCATTGTATTTACTTAATGAAAAGACTGTGTTCCTTCCCTTTCTGTTCTACAAAAACATAATAAAGAAGGAAAACTTAAACAGCCAGGAGGAGAACTTCTATAAAACAATATGACACGTGTATTTTGCTTTACTATTTCAGGACTTCTTGATGGAGACATTCATCATGTTCAAGGACCTCATTGGGAAAAATGTGTATCCCGGAGATTGGATGGCCATGAGTATGGTTCAGAACAGGTGAGCTGCCAAGCTTCCCAACAACCATGTAATGCCAATAGTCACTATGAAGAGTGCTGGTAGAGATAAGGTGGGCACAGTATCTCCCTGGTGAAGATAAATTGAATAATAGATCCCTCTACTTTTTAAATCCCAGGGAACTCCTCACTGATTTTGAACCTTTTTTTAAAATTATTTTTGTGTTCCATCCCATTTTATATACTGACTGGCCATGCTACACTCTCCAATTTTTAAATCCTCGTTAAAATATCATACTCTGTCTGTGTAGACATCCTTAGGTTCTTAAGACAAAGAGGCTTAAGGTCAGCCTAACTAAAATTATTTTAAAATGTTTCAATATAAACTGTTACATGTCATTTTAAAAGTTTAGGCAGTATTGGATTAAGCAGCTTTGAGCAGATTTCTTTCTGCAGGACTTCTCAGGGCCTTTACTATCTCATTTTGATTTTCTAAGAGGTGATGCAATATATAACATTTCACAGATTTATTTGTCCTTGGAATCATCTGCTATGTATAAAAGGATGTGTCTTTGGATAAATATAATACCTGTTAACATCTCATAGAATACCAGTGCATCCCACATGGCCCAGCACAACATTAAATAAAAGTAATTATAGGTAATTCCAGTCTTTAATGCTTTCTATCAGTTAATATTATTTCATCCAAATGAAACTCAAGTCATAACTAACTCAGCACTATTTTCTGATATTTCCTTCTATTCCTATGACTCTCACTATCTCTCACACCCATGGGTCATCCAATCTTTCTCAGAATCTGTTTTCAATTCCTAGTCACAAACTGTTTTAAACCTTGGCTTCCTTGACTCCTCTCTTTCCTTTCTCCCTCACTTTCCCTTGGCTCATTGTATTGATTTTAGGTCCTTCTCATTGAAAGCTCTTCACTCTGCACTGGCTAGAAATCTTGTTCCGCTTTACCTATTGCCTTTGTTTTCCTTCTTGAAACCCAAGAGTTGCCTAACAAAAGACAGAAATGTCAACAGATAAGAAGAGGAGAAAATGAAGAGACAAAATCAGGATTATCTTTAGTGGAAGACAAAGGGAAAAGACTTATGTCTTTTATATATTAATTTATAATTAATTTATATATTAATTATTTTGTCTTTAGATAGAATCTGCATATTTCTATCTCATGCATGCCTAAGATCTGAGTGTACTCACAAATGACTTCCTCCTTTGTTTTTCCAGCACCTATTCATGTTATTTGATAGACACTTTCCACAGTGCACTTGGGACTAGCATTAGGAGCTGAAGGGCAGAAAAGGCTAGTCAAGGCAGAAAGAAGTATCTGTCTGTGCACTGGTGCATATATTGGGATGAGGAAAGTCAGCCCATCAACAAAATATCAGAATTCTCAGCCTTGGATAACCTTGGCTCTGAATCTCCCTGTTCTATACATCATACCTGTGAGATAATGGCTCTTTCAGTGATTAAGGTTTTGGTGGGCATTAGGCTCAGGTCACATCATAGTCAGACATGGCTCTCCCTCTGCTCCATATGTCAGGGCCACTTTCCTAAACTTATGACCTATATGGTTACATGGGACACAGTACTCTAAAAGATCCCTTGTTGGGTTTAATGCCCTACTGTCACCATGTTGAAATTTTACATAGTTTTGAACAAGGAAGCATGTATTTTTGTTGTGCCTGGAGCCCAACAAACTATGTATCTAGTCACATCTCATGTCATTATTTAGTCATCTTGTGTTCTAGTAGTGGCCACCTCCTAAACTGCATGTTTGCCAGATGTTTAATAATATTTTGGTGCTTTTGCCAAATTATATGAAGTACCTGATGAGTCATCTTTGACTCACCCAACACTCAGATGCAGTCAGCAATTCACTGTTATCTACATTTCATACTGTGTGACTTTGCATAAACTATGGCTCTCTACCTTTCTAGACTAAGCTCAACATGATAGCGTTCTTCAAATTCTTGCCCATGTAACCTCTCTTTTGTGGCTCCTTCTCAGAATTCCTCATGCTAGTAAAATGAGTTTCCTCCTCTGTATTCCCATACATGTCTGTATATGTTATAACCCCACTGTACTGTTGTAAAACCACTAGCCCAGAATGGACTTCTTGAGGGAAAGAACTAGGCCCAGTTTATCCAGTTCCTAACACAGAGCTTGACATCCGTAACTAAGTATAATAAACTCTATATATTTAATATATATGGATACATATTTTTTAGGATTTTTAAAGTAAATTGATTTAAAATTGAATTTGCCTAAGGAAACAAAGTTTATTGAATTGAGTTATGACCAGGTATGAGTGCACCTATGTGTATAACCAGTGTTGTAGGGAATCTGTATCTCTATACATGTTTTCTCTGTTGACTGTTGATTTAATTATCAAGCAAATGTTCTGTGTGTAGTGGATGAAGTATCTTAGAAGTTCTAGACATATGTCTTGTTAAACTAGCAAATCCAATAGAGATGAAAGCCTATTCCTCAATAGATGCATCAAAAGGTTCTAGCTAATCCAGAAAAGTAGTATGGACTACTGCCTATGCATAAAGCTCTGTGGCCAGGAAAATGAATATGAATATCTCATAAAGCTTAGATCACACGATCCAGCTTGGGAACTGGAGAGACTATGATTAGTTCTGCCCAAACTGCAAAATCTGGGAGAAAATAGTGAAAGGAGGTAGGTGAAATAGTTCCCCAGGAAAAATCTATGGATTATTAACAGAAGGAAGAAAGGCTGTAAGACAGGCCAATAAGAGCACAGACACTGACCACTCATACATGGTCATGCAAGGGGTGGGAGTCCAGGGAGAATGCAGCCCTCACCAGGCCAGCCCCTGCTTAGAGTTGCCCATGGTCATTCTGGAGGAAACACGTGGAAGAGCTCTGAGGGCATGTCCCCTCCTAAAATCCTAGCCAGCTATGATTTTTAATCCATTTAGAGAGTGTGTGGGGTGGGGGGGTGGGGGGGGGAAACAGGCCCCTGAAGAGGATACATTAATTCTTATTTCTTCATACCTAGAAAATTAGAACATCACTTTCTAAGGGCCCTAAGAAAGTAGGATTGTCTTTTAAACAAACATTTGTCTCTCTCTTAAGGATCAGCTGTGTACTTATGTCTCTATATTTGAAAGGAAAAAAAAAAGTTAGGCTCAGAAACATAGCCTAGATTTCCAACTTCTTGGTTTGACTACCTTGTCTTTCTTGGCAAATCACTTAATTACTTGGAATCTCCCTGATCTGGAAAATGAAGATAATATCTCTATTTCTGGTTTGGTTTTGTTTGTTGGGAGTGAGTGTGGTTTGTTTGTTTCGGAAGATAAGAGTGAATTACTCCTCAGCACAGTGCTGGTACCTTAGAAGAACTCCCTAAAATGGAAGCTTTGTATTTCCAGGTGCAGACAGCAAACTTCAATTTGGACTAGAGAAGCATGCACCTAATGTGAACCAGAAAAGATAACTATTTTCCCCCTAGCAGGCCCATAGCTTAGTTAATATATTTCCTTCATTCTCAGGCCACAGTGATCCCTTATATTTATGAACCACTTGAAATGTTCTTAATGATTTTTTGTATTTTGATGTTCTTTTAGCTAACATGTATTAAGCCCCTAGATACACCACTACTTTTAATAGTTAACATGTATTAGCTCATTTATTCATTATAGCATTTATACATGAAACTAGTATAGTCCTCGTTTTATATGTGAAGAAATTGAAGCACAAAATAGACAAGTAATTTACCCATGTTGCATTGCTAATAAGAAACAAAGAATCATGGAATCTGAGCCATGGAATCTCTACCACTTCATCCTGTAAAACAGTGACACTTGTAATATTTAAATGCATTGAACAGATGTGTTTGGCTCAAACAACTAAAAAGGCTTAAACAGGTAACTTATTCAAGGTCATGCAACTAGTTAGTGAAAGTGAAACATGGGCAACCCTGGTGGCCAGAAGATTAAGTCTCACACTATGAAGCTATCTGCAACCATTTTAGCAGGAGTTTGATCCCAGGAGAGGGAGCTGACAGAGTGCAACAGACCTCTTCTGTCTCACCCATTGTTCCCCTCAGCAGTGTACTTCAGTAGATCCGCGTGCTCTGCTCCCACTCTGTCTCTGTTGAATCTTCTCACACCCTACTCCACACCTCTGGCCTGCACCCCAGCTCATGCACGCATAAATAAACCTTAAAAAAAAAAGTTTGGCCCCAACCTAGTATTCCCCAGAATAACAACATTTTCTCTTCTCTAAAAATATGCAGCCTCAACCCCACTCATTGCTGTGGCCAACGCTAACCTCCTATGTTGTATAGTCTGTACCTTGTGATTTTTTTTCTGCCCCTTCCTTGCTTTCTCCTTCTTCACCTTCCTTCACTCATTCCTTCTTCTCCTTTCCTCCCTTATTACTTACATACTAAAATGTATCTGTGTTATATCTCCCTGTGATCACTCATGGTGAATGTATGTGCACATGGATTAGCCAGGTATAATCTATTTATCTTCTTATTGAGGGGAAGGGGAAGGGTGGAGTTTTCCCAGTACAAATGTCTCCTCAACAGAGTACTGTTTGTGTATGCAGACACAGTGGTATGTCTACTGCAAGAAATACTTCCTGTTAGAGCATTTTTCTTTTTGGTAAAATGCAGCTTTCAGGAAGATATGATTTGTGTGACGTGGTTAATTTTTAAATGATCAAGGTCTTTACAATTTTGTAAATTAACAAAATTATGCCTACGAAACTCTTCCCTTCTTCCATCTGCCCCTCAATCTGGAAAATCGACATTTCGAGGGGCCTTGAGATTTATGCATATCCCTAAGCATCTCTAAATGCAGTCAACCAAGACATATTTACTGAGTGTCCTGGGCATTCATAGCTATAAGCGAGTGGACAGGCCCATTTACACTGTGGTCCCAGAAGGGTTTACAGTCTAATGGTGAACCAGGAACAATGTCACAGGAATGTGACCAAGGGCTACAGACACTGCTGTGAGCTCACAGCACAGGAAGAGAACCCAGA